GTATTTATGTTGACACTTACATATATAAATTATAGCAATACATAACATGTAATACAATGTATGACATTATATAATATGTAATGCTGTATACTATATCCATATGTAATAATAATTCATGCATTTTATTATACCAACTATATTGTGTATTTAATATAAAGGTAAATATATATCCTAATATATTTAAATTTATAGATCTGAAATTTTACATTTTGCATCATTAGTTGTATGTTTATATTTATGTATAGATATATAAATACATTAGACTTGAATATATCTACATATGTCATATATATAAACATAAAAATATATGTCTATACATATATCTGTATATATACACGATGCAAGCCTTCTGTGGAGCTTGTGTCTGGGTTTCCTCTGTGTTTTCTACCCTCATCTAAGCCTAATTTCTGCTTCCATGTTGTTAAGGTTCTTGAAAAACCTCATCTGCCTCAACTAGGCTGGAGGCAGGAGAAGGCGAGTTTGCAGCCCTGAAACAGGAAGGTGACATTAAAGTTACAAAACCCCTCAAAGAGGCAGGAGCTGAGGGAGGTTTATTTGCTCATTTAACTGCCTTTACTTTCTTTCTTCCTTCCTTTCTTTTCTTTTCTTTTCTTTCTTTCTTTCTTCCTTTCTTTCTTTCTTTCCTTCCTTCCTTCCTTCCTTCCTTCCTTCCTTCCTTCCTTTCTTCTTTTCTTTCTTTCTTTCCTACTTTCTCTTTCTCTCTCTCTCTTTTCTTTCTTTCTTTCTTTCTTCTTTCTTTCCTCTCTCTCTCTCTCTCTCTCTCTCCTTCTCTCTCCCTCCCTCCCTCCCTTCTACGATACCTATCCATGGACACATGCCCTCCATGTGCCACTGGTTCCACAAACATGAGAGACACATGATCCCTGCCCTCTCAGGGCAGGACGTACAGAGACACTGATCAAATACTTGTCCGCATTTCACCCCGAAATAAAAAAAACATATATACGAAAGACAAATTCCAAAAATGTAAGTGAAACTTAAAAATTACCATGTCAAATCCTATCACTGGGTGATGTGTTGTCTATCGAGGGTGAAGGAGTTGGAATCAAGCATGGGGTCTGGGACTCTGCCCTTGGTGGCCGTCTTGTTCTCTGCCCAGGGGATGCTGAGGGGGGTCTGGGCTGGTGTGGGGGAGCCTGTGGGCTCAGCCTGGTCCTGCAGGGTTTGAATGGTTTGCGGCGGGGAGTGGTTGGGGGGGGGGGGTCTGT